CACGTGAGCCACATGCATGCACATCCATGAGTATACTCGATTAACTCGTTCTATTTTGACTTCCCTTAAGATTCAAGTTTGATAATACCGACTCCTTTGATTGATTCTGCCTTTACACAGACCAAGCTAATGCTAGTTCAAGAGAAATTTCAACTTCAATAAGGAAAACTGACATTGAACTAAAAGCTAAGCAAGATGCATGTGAAGCGGAAGTTAATGCAACATTCAAGACAATGCAAAACACAAACAAAGCAATTCGATATTGGCGCACTGCACAAGTCATGCTACCATCCAAAATTTACAAGTTGCACAAGCTGCCAATAAAAGAACATTAAAGTTAATGTTGGAGACATTACCAAGAGGCTAAATGTGGAAGCTTTTAATTTTGATGGAACAAGAGATCCCAATTTTGATGGAAGAAGAGATCCCAATCCCTTCCTCAATTGGCTCAATTCAATTGAAGAATATTTTAACTGGTATCTTCAATTGGTATGACGGGTGGGATGCACAGAGAGTTCAATTTGCCACGATGAAGTCCGTTGGATATGAAAAATATGTTGGTACACTGTTGATGAGAGCATAACAAGGAGCAACTAACAAATGAAACATGTGAAGAGATGAAAGTCATTCTACATGAAAGGAAGAGATGAAAGTCATTCTACGAGAAAAATATTTACCTCCCAACTACTTTGACAAACTTTGTAACTAAACTTATACTTTAGTCTAGTTCAACATGCCAGTAGTTGAATATGCACAGAAGTTTAAAAAATTAAAATTTTGGAGCAATTAATAGAAGATGATAGGCAAGAAGCAACTCAATTCAAGTAGGGTTAAGAGTTGATTTAAAAAGAGAATTAATTCGACAGCCTTTGGGACCATAGCACAAACTTACCAAGCTGCCCTTGATGTGGACAAAAATTTGAATGATTCAATTATAAGAAGCATTGCGTTCCCAATTAAAAAATCCACTCCTAAGAATACATTTGAATCAAAAAGTGAACTGAAGAATAGATCAACATCAATTCCAAAAACTCCTAAAGGAGAGGAAATTGCTTTCTTTAGATGAGGACAGAGTAGACACATGAGTTGTGAATGCACAAAGAAGAATAACTTTCTTTTGTTAAGGTGTATATCATCAAACTCCAAAGTGGAAGACCAAGAAGAATCATTGAGCGTTCTCTATTAGTCAAGATCTTTCCTTAAGGGACAACTCTAAAAAGTTTCATGCAATGAGGAATTTGACACACCAATTGGCTAATATGTTAATTTCATCCTCCATCAAGATCACTCTTAAACAATTGTGAGTTCTATTATTTTAGGCATAAAAAAGAACAACAATGCATAAAAAAAATTGCCAAGTTTTCATGAGAAGTTCAAAGATCAAAGTTTTATATCATTCACTACTACTTCAAAATTTGCGATTGAGTTTTCTCCAACCATGGGAGAATGATGCAGAATGGAGTAGCTATATCTAAATAGATTAAAAATTATGATTCTTTTAAATGTAAAACAATTATTATTCTTTTAAGAATAATTATTATATATTTAGTAACTTCAGGAGTTTTGTTCCCGGTTCTCTCTATAACAACTGACCAAGTATATATAAACAAATTCAAGAAAAAACAAAACAACAAACTTGTTGCAACAGTGACGATTCATAAAAAGAAAAATACACACATACAAGTTCCACACTCCGCACATCGAGAGCAAAATATGACTTCAAAAATTGAAGAGTGATTAAAAAACCAAAGTAGTACAACAAAAGTAGGCAATAACTGAAAATAACATTTTGTTCCTGTGAGACAGAAAACTCGAAAGAACAAAAAGAAAAAAAAAAGGCATAAATTAACCAGAGATAAGAAATAAAAAGCAAACCTGAACAAGAGCAGACACAGCAGTGTGGTCACCATGGCAGTCTCCAGGCTCCATGTTAAGATAAGCTGTTGCGCCATGGCAAGACGCACCGGCGGCCTCAGTAGCTAGGACCTCCGCTGGTTTGGTTCCCTGCGCATAGAGATAGCCCTCTCCGGCGACTTTTCCGGCACTGGTGGCTATGACGCAGCCGAAGTTGGGATGAGGAGATGTAAAACCGGCGGATTTGTCGGCAATCTGTGCTGCGCGTCGGATGAACGCGGCATCCTGGCTATGAGAATGGGAATTAAAGTTGTCATTAACCGAGGCCCTGCAAGAAAATGGAGCCGATAATGCTCGTAAAGAGGGCAGCATCTGATCACTTGTTGAAAATTTGCAGTGAGATTAGGGAGGAAGGAAATGCTCGTAAAGAGAGGAGATTGAGTTTGAACACTTTTAAGGGAATTTTTTTTATTTTTTAAATAATTTAAATATTAGTTTATAAATAAATATATATATAAATTACATTAAAATAAATAAAAGGCCTATTATATATAAAAGCCATGTTAAGAAATATTTTGCAATAATATAAAATGTTTTCAATTATGTATCCACAGTTTTAATCGCTTTCAAACGATCGTGCGTTATGAGGATTTATTTTTAAAAAAAATTGAAGTACAGTATTAATATACATTAAAAAAAATAATTCATAATATCCTACAACTATATAATATTTGGCCACATCATCAATTATGTGTGTACAAATTTTAAGAAATCTCAAATAATTATTATTCGTAATGACATGTTTTTTAAAAAAAAATTTAAAAATATAAAATTAAAATAAACACAATATTAATGCATAGAGTTGTTTAAAAAAATATAAATTATATAAGAGCTTCAAAGGCTTGTTCCACATATGTATATAAAACAGTTCAATATACAAATTTAAAATTTAAGGAAATACCTAATTTAATTCTCGAATTATTGTCAATTTAGTTATAAATATTTTTTGTGATAGCTCAAAAATACATCCAAATTAATTTTTCATGTTTAATATATTTAATTTAGTCTTTACATATATTTTAAAATATATAATAAAGATAATTTACAATCAAATGAAAAAATGATGGATAAAAATGAAGGAGCTATAACAAATATAAAAATACATAGAAAATTATGAGAACCTTTTTGAGGAAGTAATATAATGAAAAATGATAACTTTTAGATAAAATGTCATAATGGAAGTGACAACTTTAGATTAAGTAATATGTAAAAAATAATAACTTTTATATTGATTAACATAATAAAAATGACATCTTTTAGATAAAGTTTGTTGTAAAAAATAGTAATCTTTTATATAAAGTGATATGTAAAAGGTGATAATTTTATAAATGAAATGACATGTAAAAAATAGTAACATTTTAGATAAAGTGACATAATGAAAAATAACAACTGTCAAATGAAATAACATGACAAAATAGTGGTAACCTTTCTCTCGTGACTCTCCACTCTTATAAATAGAGGATGAGAGAAGAGAGAAAATACATTTCAAATTATAAAAAAATAATAAAAAATATAGAGGTGATGAAAGAATGAG